GCTTTACAGCAATCATGGTCACGGATGAAACTAAGATATTAGACGTCTTAAAGGTAAAATATACAAGTGTATGTTAGAAACAGCATCCGCGTATTCGTAACAAAGTAAATTCGCGGAAAATTCTAGTTTGTTCTTATTTTCATTATGTATTCTCAAATAATTGTCACCTGCTATGCCACGCACACTTATTTGTTATACCTACCTAGAGTAAAACACGAGGATGCAGGGAAATCACAGCTTAGAGGCCGATTCGTGACCTTTTTATTACTTTACATCCGCTTAGATTGTATAAATGGATTAAATTAAATAGGCTACATAGAAAAATGTTTTGTAAGAAAATATGCTAAACGTCAAAGATTCGAAGAATATATAACTCTAATAATTAGAGGGCGCTCTCAGATCTTATCTAAATAAGTGAAATATTAAAAACTAGCATTGTCCGCGGCTCCGATCGCGTTTAGATGACCAAAAACCAAATTCTTAGGTTTTACACATTAGTATACTCTTACATTGAAGATTTTGTATTTTTTGTATACCAAATTTCACCAAAATCCCTCTAGTGGTTTTTCTGTGATGCGGTAACAGACAGACAGACAAAAATTCTAAAAACTGTAGATTCGGCCTCTGTATCGATAATAATGTTTATTTCAATAAGATTTTCCAAAAAATATTTAATGTACAGATTTGGCTCAGTTACAATTTTATTATATGTATATATATAAATATATATATAAGTTTGCCGAGTGGTCGAACTTCGACCATGGTTATTATTGATCTTTTTTATATATAAAACTAAAGCTCGTCAATAGCTATTAAACTTTACATAATTCTCAATTTGACCACAGAATTTAACAATAAATAATAGAGTATATATGTATATGTGTGTGTGTGTCATATACGTGGTAGTGTGTGTAATTTTTTATTGATTTACTTAATGTATTTTTTATGTATAATTTAAAAAAAAATATGTAAGCATTCTGCACTCATTCTCTATAAACTATAGTGTGGGAAATTTCATACACCTCCATCCGCGCAATTTACGTAAAAAGGAGTACAAAGTTTTTGCTTCACGTATTAAAATATAGATAACATAATTGAAATGACTTTATTCGCTATGTCATAGGACCAAAATATGTAACTCTCATATATATATATTTTTAATATCTATTCAAGTTTTAACCCAATTTACTTTTGCGCTACCACAAAACTTTACCTGTGAAAACGCGACAAAAGTTAAATTTTTGGGGTTTTTGTGGGTTTATAATTACTAATATAGTACCAAACATATTTATAAACTAAAATGAAACTCATTGAAATGACAATAGTAGAAAATAGCTTTTAAGAGTCGATGATATCTACTCTAGTATTGATATCCAAAGAGGAAACAATGTACTACGTTTGTATAGGGAAAGTGCAAATCTTTCCTCTTGGACAGAATTCTTCAGAAACTGTTGATGAACGATGTACTTATACCTATTTTTAAATTAAAAACGTGCATTAACTTCAAAATCACTTTAGATTGTGCCACACTTACAAATTTATACCTATTTTTTTATTTATTAATTATATGTTTTACAGAAAAATCTTAGTCTAGAAATAACCTATCCACCAAAAAATCCTTCAAACTAGATCCTTGTAGTAGTATCATGTTTAATCTATTTTTTGAAGTCCAGGGAGTTATGATTCCACACCTTAGTAGCAGAATAGTTATTTTTAATATGATCTTGAGGTCGGTGTACCTTATAAGTCTTTAAGTAATTTTATCATTTAAAAAAATACTGTGTAGTTTTTTTTTCAAGTTTAGCACTAATAGATCCAATTAATTCCACGTCTAACCACAATAAGCCTTAACGAAAGCGTTTTCATCTTATATGGTACGAGTATTACTTGCATATATTATTAATGTGATATTTTTATTCAAGGTGCATTCTGTTAACTTCAAAAGCAGGTAAACGTTGTGCAAAATCTTATAGGTTCAGTTTGAGGTTAAAATTTCAATTTACAGAGAAAACCCCTAGATCCGTTTTAACAGTAAAATTATACATGATTTTGAAATTTAAAGTGAACCATATGTATGAATCACTAAAAATGTATGAAATATTTTCATTTTGTGTGTAATTTTTTTAGATATTACCTCTAGTGTTTAATTTTCACATTTAATTATGTATTTATAAGTTTTAGTAGTGAGCAATAAGCAAATAATAATAAAAAGTTTTTTTTTAAACACTTATTTTTTTAGATTTTGTCGCGGTGTTTTTTATGTCTTCGTCCCCATCGATTCGGATGTTTTATAGCAAACATGGTCACGGGAGAGACTTGGTCTCTCCTGGAAAAGCGTGCTATCTAAAATCCAAACCAAATTATTTTTTAACATAAAGATGGTTTACTTTTTTTGCCTTTTGGCCTTCAAAATTTCATAAGTTGGTGTAAAGGTTTCCACCCTTTCCCTTGGCGATGAATTGTTGAAATCTATATATGTATGTGTACCTTTATACATACATACATTGAGATATTATTATAACTTATTCATAATAAAATGCTCAAAGACAAACAAAAAAATGGATAAGTTAAATACAGGAAGTACTCAACAATTTAGTATTTAGCATTAGGTATACAAAATTTTATATTTTTTCCTCAGACTAAGGAATAATTATACTGAGTGTCATAGAACTAAACATGAAGCCAAACAATAATGCTTTAAAATATGTTAATAAATAAAAATAGCTAAGGCATTTTATTATAATAAAAAAAAGCTACTATAATACTGTTTATTTACTATTATTTATATTTTCATCTCAAAAATCGTAAATAAATGAACGAATATAAAATTTCCCTTGTACTTTAAAGACAGTAAACAATCTGTAGGTATATCAAAATCTATTATCTTACTAATATTAATTATAAATGTAAAAGTTTAGATATTTGGATGTTTGTTAATTTGAACTGGCTGAATAGATCTGGATGAATTTATCACAGAGATAGATTATAGTCTGGAATAACATAAGTACATAGGCTTTTTATCCCGAAAAACTGTACGGGTCCCGTGGGACAGATTTGTTTTTGTTGAGCCACTAGTAGTAACATAAACAGCAAAAACGTTACTTTTGACCTTGACTATATAATTCTTTAGTCTGACGTTCTTCTTTACCAATGATCGTATATATGTACAATTAGAACCACAAAATATTTAATAGCCTCCAAACTTAAATTCAAGACGCCGTCTAACATTACGTAGGTAGTAGGTACCTATTCAAATTCACAACTTATAAAGAAATATAAAACAATTAAGTATTTATGTTAATCTCTTCATTTTAATGATAAACAATAATTATATAAACATTATAAATAATGAGAGATCATTATACTTATACTATACGGTTTTGTCCCGTAATAAAAAATGTGACTGTTATCTAGCACTAGATAATATCTAACAACCTATTGATTGTAATTTATTTGATTGTTATTCTTTAGTATGACGTAATAATTGATATGGAAATTATTATGTACTCGTAGAGATCGATAGATTAGTAGTTTAGTGATTCGCCTTAATATGTTTTTGTTATTTTTATTTATTCAAAGCTGCCCTAGCTCTAGCTGATCTAACAGCCAGTCTGCCCAAATTTACAACAAACTATTTTGGGACCTTCAAATTCATACAAAAATCCTACAACAAAGTATTACGGAAAAATCGGAAAAAGGGATATTATTAAGTAAAATCCTTTTTTCCCCACTTTTCCGTAATATCATATTACTACTAATTGGATTATAATAAATAAAAAAAAATAGGCTAAGGATCCAGCTGTTCTCAAATGATGCGCTTACCAACGAACAGAATTTTATTTTAATTTATATGTTATTATAATTAATTATAAAAAAAATGGTTGAAAGAAATAAGAATACTAAATGGGATTGACAACCTATATTGTTTCTCAAGATTCGGGAAAAAGCAGTAGCCCTCTCAACTTAAAATATGTTCAACGCTGCTAGGGATGTTGATAAATTATTTGTAGTAAAAATAATTTTTAATAGCGATTCACTAATCTATCCCATGGGAATCGCACATTTTTTCAGGATAAAAGTAACCTATGAGATATTCCAGACTATAATCTATCTTTGTGCCAAATCTTATCTAGATCCGTTTAGCCGTTCTGGTGTGAAAGAGTAACAAACAAATTCATCCATCCTCACAAGCTTTCACATTTAATAATAATATAAAATGTTAAGACATTAACACACAGCACCATCCTAAGCTACGAGGCTTGTGTTATGGATACCAGATAGTTGATACACTACACATATATAACTTTAAATACATACATATTATAAATAAATACTCTTCAATACATTTATAATATTATATATACATTTATAATAACAAATACATTTATAATATTAGTATGGATAACTTACATTTATTATTCAGCTACTTACTTTTTACACTTTCGTAAATAATAATAGCAAATATAAATACAATTTATGTAAATAAAAAGGAAAATCAAGACATTTTTCAAATTGCAGTAAAATCTTTAAGAAATAAAAACATACATCGCCATCTTAAAAATCGGATATCGCGGTTAACATCAATAAAAAGAGAAAGCATGTCACAAGTGTTTCTTAACGTTGATTACGTTTAAAAGAACAACTTTCAGGAAAAAACATTACAAGTCGTCCTATATAGAGTTCGCAATAAATTTATTTATGGATGCCTGTGAAAAATTTTTTTCTTAAAATTCTTATTTCCCGTTTCAGGTAAATCATTCTATTGTAATATTTACGGGGAATAACAATATGTTTTTATTCAGCATAAATGCTTTTAAATCACACCGTTTTTCGGGATCTAATAACGCTATTATGTGACGCATACGCAGGGGACTCCCTTATCGCATGAGTTGCTCGCGCTGCTTATAAGCAGAGCGCGTTCCAAATTTAAATCATTCGCTCGCTGAAATCAGCAGAAGCAAGTCGTGCCTGAATAAATAAAATATTTAACAAAAAAAAACATGAAGACTTACTCTATCCTCGGTAACAAAAAGAAAGTTACAATGGAAATGAATCCAACAAGTTTAAAGGTGGTTGGGAACAACTGTGTGGTACGAGTGACATCGAATCAAGGCGAAATTGAAGTTATAGGCAATGATTGTCGTATCGATGTGATTAATAATTATGGTTCTATTAACTTAGTGGGCAGTGGAGGTGCTGTAACAGTAACCAAACGATGGAAGGGCGATAAAGTGTCGTTAGTTGGACCTAACTGCCATCTAATGGTAGACGGCAAGGATAATACAACACCGACGTATGAAGCGCAACTCTCACCATTCAGCAAAGATTTGGACGATGTTATCGAATCCATCTTCTCATTTGTCATGCGATGATGGTATTCCGAAGATATTAGGCTTTTAATCGTGTGGTGCTTTTTCGAGGAGTTTTGTCATTTTCTTCGTTATCATGGAGCGCCCTTTCAACGCTTTGAAGTGGTTTTAACTGAAAATAAGGAAGCGTTTGTACTTAAATTATGAAGGAGGAAGAACATATAGTACTACTATTATTTATTATGTATATAATTGGAAAATTAATTAATTGTGTTTTAGTCTTTCCGTTTTATGATTTTATAATATGTTATTCCCCGCACACCATCCGTGATCAATTATGTATGTAATATATGACAGATTTTAAATAAAATAATGATTTTTAAAATTATTGTTTTTATATTAAATTCTTCCAATTTTTGATTCTAGTATTAAAATATTAATCTATTTTTTGAAGCCTTTTAAAAACCATTTGGAAACAATTTACTTTGCCTTATTTATTTTACGAAATTAACATCTTACATGAATACTGTTAAAATCATAGATTATCTGTACTCATAATATTAATAATATAATAAGAAAAGGATAGAAGTAGATTTTTTTTTATTTCAATGTAAATTTAAAAAAAAAATCATGTATAGATAAAACTATTATCATTCATATCTCGCATAATAGAATACTCAAGTAACATACAAATAGCTAAGTCATCTACATTTTATCAATGACGATAGTAAACTTTTCGATAACAATATAAGAGAGTATTCTTTTGTATTTTGAACGAATCTCATTGTAATATAAAGAAAATATAATTTCAATCAATATTGAAACGCTTACAATAAGCCAAAACTTGTTTCCCATAAAAACTGGTCAGGTAGCGAGTTCGGTAATTACGTAATGTGCTGCGTCACAGCAGACAGTAGACGCAAGTGCCATCGTGCTCATACGTAACTTAACTTTATTTTGTAAATAATTTTTGACTTGTATCGCTTTCGATCCGAAAGATATCGCCTTTTCGCTGTGTCTCAAAATGTATCACTACACCAAATCTCATTAAAATTGGTTCAGCGGTTTAGGTGTGAAAAACAAACAAACAAACAGACAGATTATGTTACTTTAGATTGTCTTGTGCATTAACATGAGCGTAGTAGCATTATCCAAAGTTTACCATAAAACGTAGGCACGCTATTCCATTTCCAAAGCAAAAAATCACGCCATTGGTTATTTCATTGCTAAATTAATCAAAATGATTTATTATGATATGAATCATAATGATTGTATTGAAAATATTATTATGTACTATAATATTAATCTAATGATATGTTTTTTTTAATTAATAATTTATCACCAAATTCAAAAGAGGAGAGAGTTACTTTTGTTTACTTTTTGAGAGAGTAGTTGAGTTAGTATTGCGCAATACTTAATCGATTTCATGATTTTTTATGGGTTATAACTTATAATTCAATGGTGCTCGCATAATTATATACATATTTTAAAGAAATAATTAATACGTAAAAATAATTTCTTTTAAAGTAAGGTCAATAGTTTTTTAATTGAAAGAAAATTATAAAATAAGTAGGTATAAGTTAAAACTAAACTTCTAAACCAAATTTAGAATCACGCGGTTGGAGTCACAGACAGTTTAAGATGTATGTATGTATGTATATGTTCAGCTCTTTCTAACGTCCCACTGCTGGGTACGGACTTCCCAATACGATCAGGCCATCCATGCTGGCCAAGAGCGGGTTGGCGGAGCGCTTTTCCTTCACCGTGTGTTATATTATTTTGTATTTAACTTTATATTAGTAAAAAACATAATTTATTACGCATCGTTCGTATTTTAATAGTAAAAGAAAGAATCAGGATATTGAGTTGAATGAGTGAATGGTGTATCTCTATATGTAAAGTTGAAGTAGCCATATATGTGCAGTGACTTGTAACTAGTAGCTATATCTTTCTTATAAATCTGATTCTCGTTGATTGTTTGCAATTCTTACAATATGAATCATTGTCATCTAAGAGTACACATTGTCGAGATATTATGTTCAATATTGTACGTAGAATTAAATTACTTGAATAATTAACACTATTCTCAAATGCGTAGTACCTATTTACATACATAGTTTATGTAGTATGAAAACGTGTTATTAGATAAGATATAATATGGATGTATATACATAAGCAAATTTTGTTTTTGACAAATATAGGTATTATGGATATTTTTGGCAGTGTAACAAGTATTAGAAATAAAATCAAACTTTTTATCTGCCGTCATAAAAAAGGAGGCCCAAACTTCGTCAAAGTTAATTTAGAGATATTTGAATTTTTGTCTTACTACTACGTCAAAGTTACTACTAGTTTTGATGTAGTTACAATTAAAATGCTTACGGTATCTCCAGATTCATAAGACTTAGAGGCTTATGAGTAAGATTATCAAGTAGCATTTTTTTTTGCTGATTTCGAATCTGCATATACCTAAGTCATTTTTGATCAAATTGTTAGTTACGACCTTCTTTCTTATGACAGTAGTAATTTGTTACATATATTTAAATTGTATAGAAAAATTTGAGTTATATGTTCGCCAACGTCCATACCACGTTGAACACACCGGTTCTCGTCCGATCACCGAAGTTAAGTAACGTCGGGCGCGGTCAGTACTTGGATGGGTGACCGCCTGGGAACACCGCGTGACGTTGGCTTTTTGTTTCTCATTTTGTTTGTTCTAAAGCTAGCTCTACTTTGTAAGTGTACGATTGTTTGGTGTATTCTGTCGCCAACGTCCATACCACGTTGAACACACCGGTTCTCGTCCGATCACCGAAGTTAAGCAACGTCGGGCGCGGTCAGTACTTGGATGGGTGACCGCCTGGGAACACCGCGTGACGTTGGCTTTTTGCAATTATTTGTAGCACTTTTGAAATCTTATTAATTACTAGGAACGTTTTAACAGTTACTATAATTTTTTCAAAGATGAGATATTTTCCCCCAGTAAAAAGTACCTATCCTATATGTTGACCCGGATAGCCAGCTATCATCATACCTAAATTTCATAAAAATCTGTCCAGTTTGTTTTCTCGTAATCCCTTCCCAGACAGACAGACAAACAGACAAGAAACTTTAATATTTACAATTACAATAAGATTTTCCAAAAAATATTTAATGTACAGATTCGACTCTGTTACAATTTTATTATATGTATTATGTGCCAAACTTCATCCAGATCTGTTCAATCTGGATGAAGTTTGGCACAGATATAGATTATAGTCTGGAATACCACATAGGCCATGTACGATGTTTAAAATAGTGATGGCAGCTCTACTTATTATTATTTTTTACGTTAATTATCTGGCAATACATTTATTTTTGAAGTCGGAGGTTTCTAATATATATTTTTTCCTTTTTCAATTACTTTTTAACCGTCGTGGGTTTTTTCAAAATTTTTAATTTTGCTTTTTATTGTCAAAATTATTTGCGCTTCTCACTTCGTTTTCCTCCGACAAAAAGGAAGGAGGTTTTCAGTACAATGCGTAGGTACACTTCATAAGGTATGGTTTCGCGTAATATTTTGTTTAATAAGTTGTCCTTATGATGATTTCTTTTTTTTTATAAGTTATATCCAAAGATTATATGTGTGCATTTGTTTATTTTTCAGCACAGACTACGCTTCGTCTGCGCTTTTATAAAACGTAGTGTGCAGACACTGAAGTATATTAAAAGTCGAACTTTGAATAAAAAAAAAGAGTTTTTAATTAGGTTCTGTGGTATTTGTGTACTGTATACCTTTATCTTTTTCTAAATAAATTGTACTCCTAAGGATAAAGTAGTAATTACTTTTAAAGTAAAAAAAACTCAAATGTAATCTATACATTGCTGTCTGTACATGGAAGATATTTGAGAAATTTTTTTATTGGGAATCTTTAATCTTTATTAACGTAATACGATCCAAAACAATGATTTTTAGAATTTTCGTCTGTTTGTCTGTGCGCTTGTGCGTGCTAATCTCAGAAACGGCTTAGCTGATCTAGGTGCAGTTGTCGCTAATTTACTTTGGTACGTTTGACTTAACATTAAGTATTTATTTTATTTCAATCGGTTCATAAATAAAAAAATTATGTCAATTTAAAGAATCACCTAGGGACGAACCCGAGCGGAGCGAGTGCGAGTCACTATTTATTATATAAACTTATGAAAATGGCAACATATTTATATTTATTAATTATAAAATATTATTAAACTAGCATTTCTTAGTGTATAAACTACGTGAGATACGTTTGTTTGTATAAACAGCTGATTTTTTTCATATATGACGTCGAATTATTCAAGCAATGGTTATTTAATTAGGTTAAATCGTTTTAGAGAATTCGATAGTACCGTAGTAGTAATTGTTGATATTATTCAGCATATTCAAGTACCTAACAAAAAAATTGACTTTCTATAATCGAAATATTCGCTAGAAAGCTCGTGCCCAGGAGTGGGACGTTGAAAAGGGTTGAATACAAGCCCTTTTCAACGTCCCACTCCTGGGCACGAGCTTTCTACCTAGATGGTAAGGGATTAGGTCATAGTTCCATGCTTAATACTAGAGGGTTCAGATCAAAGTCCACCACGCTGGCCAAGTGCGAGTTGGCGGACTTCATTTGTTTTCTGAAAACTTGCTTGGTCCTCTCCGAAATGCAGGTTAAGACAAGTGGTAATCATGTTGAAAATGATTCGCACTGTAAAAGAAATACCACAGGAGCGTTAACCGGGATTTTAACCCGCTTCCCATGGTTTCTCAAGCAAGCGCATTACCACTGGGCTAACACTCTCATTAAATGTCGCTAATAGATAATCAAAAATATATTGAAATGTCATATTCGAACAACATGCCAATAATGCTTAGATATATGATTATTTATTATTAACATTTCTATACGTTTTATAGTTCTTCATACGCAATAGCGGTTGTACAATGTCATTTTCTCTAAGGGCACACAATCTATGTATGTACAGTGTACATAAACTTATACAATATTATGTAGTACTAGCGGCTCACTTTTCCTCTAGACAAACAGATCTATCCCACG